ATATACATGTATATATACACACACACATATATCGGTGTGCAAGTGTCTAGGTTGTTAGTGCATACAGTGCACCCTTGACTTACATACTCAGTTCCTTCTCACTGGTTGCAACTCAAATTGGTCAGCTGAAGGCTTGAGTTCCTCCACACAGCCTTTAAAATCTCTCTCCTGTGTACAGGCAGATCTCAGTGGCCTTAGAGAGACTTTGGCCCAGGATTTCTCAATTAACCCCATACAAGAAAGGATGCCATAATGTTCCTTCCAGAACTCTTTAAGGGTAAATCTGTATCTAACACCATCTGGAAGCACAAGCAGCCAGCATTTGAGTCATAAGTCTAGACTTTAGCTGTAAGTTCAAACTAACATTCTGGTTGTAACCCAATTTGTTTGTATGTCAGGCTGGTCATAACTTGAGAGTCCACTGTATTTTATGTATGAAGTAAGTTTTTGTAATATAGCCTCCCTCCCCACTTTTTTATCTTCCTGTGTTTAATTGGAGATGGAAGGAGGAGAAAATTGAGCCTTAGCATGAAGTAAGCTAGGCCAGGCAGCCTTATCAGCTCTCTGTTTTTCTTAGCTACTCTCTCTCTCTCTTTCTCTCTCGCAGGGGTTCAACTTTTTATTTGTCAAAAACCTCACTGAGACCCTTTAACTTTCCCTGCCTGTCCCCCAATCTTCCCTACAGTTCTACGTGATTGTGGGACACAAGTATTTACCCAAAGGGGTAAGTTGTGTATAAGTGGTACACAGTAAAGAGACAATGTGTGGATTCCTGCCTCTGGCCCAGAGCGCCTAAAGAATCCACACTGACCCTCAGGCCTGAAGCAGCTAAAAGCAAACAAAAATGTGGGTATCTGTGATTTTTCAAGGCACTGAACTGTAGATAATGAAGGAAAATAAAATTGGAAAGGTAAAAACAAATAGGGCAAGTCCTGTGATGGCTGACTGCCTGGATCTTGTGGGCTATAGTAGGTGAGAGACCCAAAGTGGAGGTTGATGGTCTGCCTGCTGACCAGAGGAGAAGACAACTACAAGTCACAGAGCAGAGGTCCAGAGAGGAGTGAGCAACACAAGATCAGAGCTCTGGGGTCTGCAAGTGGCCTCGAGTCTTCAGGAGAGGGCTGACCACATGTGTGTGAGGAAACTACCTAAGCCAAGAAAATAATTACCACTTGGTGAAATGAGAGAAAGGAACACTCCACTTAAGTTACTCAGGGAAAAGAGTAGTCCTGATCCCATTTGTCACTGTAGAAAACCTCAGTATTCTGGAGTCCAGGGTAGAGATGTCTGGTATCCAATAGAAAATTACCAGACACATATAGAGGTAGAAAAATATGGTCCCTCATGAGAATACCCAGTCAAAACCAAGAAATGGCACAGGTGATAAGATTAGTTGACATTAGCAGAAATTAAAACAATTGTTATACTTGTATCCAAGATGTTCAAGAAAGTAGAAAAAAAAAGATGGAAATTTTATGTTAAACAGAAACAAAGATGATACATGAAATGCCCAAAATGAACTTCTAGAGATGAAAACTACGTTGTACCAGGTGGAATTTACTGGATAGAATTTAAAGAAGATTAGACATTTTAGCAGAAAGATGAACAAGCCTGAAGATAGAACAGTGGAAATTCCCCAAAATGAAACAGAGAAGAAATGCTTAGAAGAATACTTGGAGCCTTGTGAGTGAGGAAAACTTCCAGCAGCGTGATAAACATGCAGTGGGATCCCTAAAGGAGAGGTGAGAGAGGAAACAGGAAAAATCTTTGAAGACATAACAGTCAAAAATGCTAAATTTGAAAAGTTGGGGAGAAAAGGCATCTTGTACTCGGAACTAAAGAAGGACAGGAGGCTTCTTGCTGGGAGCAGTAAAACCAAAGATCTTTAAGACACAAGAATTAAAGCCAATCAGTGTAAATTCTACACCCAGAGAAATCCTACAAAACCAAAAGGAAAAGTTCTTAAAATTTATTAAAATGTAGAGAAGCTGAAAGAGTTTGACCTACACTTCCCAAGACTGTAAAAGAAATTATTTGCGCAAGAGGAAGATGTATCCACGGAAATTTGGGTCTACAAGTGCAGTGGAGAGCAGCAAAAGATCATTATTTAACCAAACACAGTGAGGATACTCTGTGGGATTCCGACACGTAGAATAGGGTGCATGACAACAGGAGCAGAATAGCAGGAGAGGAGAGGTGGTGTGTAGGTGATAAGTTTTCATGCTGCCTACATGCTGAAGGGGTGCATTTAGCTGTGCTTGGAACAGTACCGCTTCATGGTAGATTCTGATAGATGGACAACGTACTCTCCATACCTTGAAGCAGCCATTAGAGGACCACTAGAGATGTAGCTAGGAAACTAAGAAAGAAGATACAATGGAACCAAAGAAGATAATCAGTTAATTTAACATAAGACTGAAAATGAGACAAATAATAAATGAAAGATGGAACAGATAGAAAATAGATGATATACTGTCAATAGGGTATAGTGGATTGAATCCAGTCGTGTTGTAATCATGTTCAACATAAAGGTCTAGATATTCCAATTAAAAGGCAAACACTATCACATTGGGAAAAAGCAGATGTGTGCACAAAACCCATTTTCAGGGTGAGATAGAGTGACTGAAAGCTAAAGGGTGTGAAGGAATACTATGCAGACACTAGTACATGTACCCCTGCTTATGTTAGTTTACACACACTGTGCTCACACTAATACATGTACCCCTTGTTCAGGTTAACACATACACCTGGTCACACAAAACACACACATGCATTGCTCATGCTGACACATGATAAATACACAACACTCTCTGACACTATGGGGGGGAAAAAGCTGGAGTGACTACATTTATACTACACAGAGTGTCTGATTTTTTTTAAACAATGGTGATAGCATCACTTTAAAATAGAAGAAGGAATGATCCTCAAAGTTTTTGTACCTATAATATTTTTAAATACATGACACAAAAAATTGGTAGAACTGTGAGGACAAATAGACAAAATCCAAAATCAAAACTAGCATTTTCAGCACTCTGCTCTGATTAATCAATAAAATAGCTAGACAGAGAATAAGCAAAGATATAAAAGACTTGGTCAATTTGACCTGTGACAGCTATAAAGCACATACCCAAACAGAGGAATGTATACGCCTCTCAAATACACAGAGCAAGACAGACTATAATCTAGACTAAAAACTACATACATTTAAAAATATTCTAATCAGATTATTCACTGACCGCAATGGAATTAAATTTTAAATCAAAAACAAAAGATCCTGAAAACTCTTAAATATTTGGAAACTCAACTAAACATTTCTAAATAATCCATGAGTTAAAGAAAACTTCAAAATGAAAATTAGAAGGTATTTTAAGCTGAATGAAAATGAAAATGCACATCAAAATTTGGGGGATGCTGCTGACGCAGTGTTTACAAGAATCTATGACCTCAGGTCCCATCTTAAGAAACTAAAAGGGAAAATAAAATGAAATCCAAAGTAAGCAGAAACATGTGGGCACTGTGTATCAAAACCGAAAGGCAGGAAACAGAAATGATAAAAATGATGACACCAGAAGAAGATTTTTCTAAGAATAGAATTAATAAACCCCTTCTCAGACTGATCAGGGATGGGGGGGGAGAAGCAGGGGAGAGGGAGAGACAGAGGAGATATTAGGAACTCTAGAGTTAGGAAATCACTTCAGATTCTAGAACTATTAAGAAGAAAAAGAGGGTATGATGAACAACTTTGTGTTAGTACATTTGAAGATATATGGATGGTAAAAAAATAGGAAAGCTCACACATACAGAATGATGTAGAGTTATTCACCACAAACTATTGGAATGACTGAAATTAAAAGACTTGCTACACCAAGTGCCGTAGAGGATGTGGAGAGACTGGCACCCTCACCCTGCTGGAGGGGTGTAAAATATAACCTTGACAAACAGTTTAGAAGTTATGTGAAAAATTGAGTGCACACTTGCCTAAGACCCAGGCATTCTGCCCCAAGGAACAAGGAGCTGCCTTTAACCAGGGCAAAGGAAAGCCCTCGTTCATACAAATACAGGTTGTTCAGTTTCATATGCAATGGCAGAAGATGGGTAACAACTCAGTCGAACATTAATAGGTAAACAGATTATCCAGTAGTGACATGCAATGCAACTGAAGACGTCTGAGCAGAAACAGACGTGAACTAGAGACAGAAGCTGCAACGTGGATGAATCTGTAATGATGTGAGTGGGAGACATAGGAAAAGAAGAGGACCCTGTGTGACTCCAGTTCTGTGAGATGCCTTCACTCGTTCCATGTCAATGAAGCTGTGTAGATCAACAGTTGGGAGGACCAGCCTGAGGACCTTGCCGCATGAGGGTTTCCTCGGTTCATACATACGTCAAAACGTCCTAGAAACAAATGTTCAATGTGTTCACTATATATTGACTTCCATACTGGTTTTTCCAGAAACCAAAGGTAGCTTTGAAAAATGTCTGGAGATGTTTGGATCCACCATTAAGCTGATGACCTTTGGGTGTTTGAGTAGTATATAGTGACTTCATAACTGCATTTGTTGTTTCATAAAAGTGTTTGAGAGGTTTTTGCACTTGTTACGTGGAAATAAAGTGTTTGATTTTTTAAAAATTTACATTTCCATGTTGAAGTTTGTGCTTTCAATATTTGCAATTTACTGTATTTCTGTTAGACTTTAATGGAGCTATTTAAAAAGTGAATGACCAAAAAAAAAAGTCAACAAAAACTGCCAATAACAATGTGGTAATAAGTTTATCACTAACTATGCAAGAGCCTTCTTGTGACCAGGACACACAGATGCCTCCTGTGTGCTTTAAAATGCTTCATTGTTATTTCAAAACTACAGTGGTACCTCTTTAACAATGAAAAACTAGGAAGAATTTTAAGGGCACAAGAAAATACCCCTGACCATGCTCCTACCCATAAACAACTGCCGTTGGATGTCACACACACACACACACACACACCCCACCCCCTCAGCTGAGGTTGGCTTGGAGACTCAAGGATAGGGGCCCCCAGCCTATGACAAGTCCCAGAGTTTGTGCTGTCTAACATCTCGCCTCCGAGTACAGCCTCTTTATTTGAACTCCAGGGAAGAAGTAAATAAAATAGGTAAGATAAATTTCATAGGAGGAAGTGCATCTAAAGTTGATTTAATTATTTAAAACTACAAAGTCTACTGAAATTAATGAGCTTCCCCCCCTCTATTAAAAAGGTAAAAACAGTGTACTTTTTAGCTTTTGTACTTAAAACTTATGCATCTTTGGAAACAGTTAAATTTTTCTTATGCAACTTTGTTTTGTCTTATGATTTTTATTTGCTGAGTTTCAACCTGCTATATTAATGATGTTTTTAAATGGTCTTTTAAGTTAAATGATTGCTTTCATTAAAAATCTCTATATGTGCAAAAACTGTATCTACAGGATCCTGGGAAGCTGATTGAAATTGAATGTCTGGAGTGTGAATTAGAAGTTTCAAGGCTTGAAAATAAAATTAGAGTCTACATCAGAGGAGCCGTTGAGGTAAAACCTTAAACAGGAGACCTGACACGTAACCTATTCTTCTGCAGGTTCACTGGGACAAGGGGGACATTGAGTTTATGCCAGGTTTGAGGGCACTGAGGCCATGACTTGGACCCCACTGCTGAATCCACCCAGCTCTGCCTGGCACTGAAGACGGCAGGGCAGGCCAGCTGTGACTCCACCTCCTCACCATAAAGGGGTGAAGACTCAGCCTCCTTTGTAGGAGCACCCGAATATACACAGTGCCTGGGGCACCAGAGCTACTCGTCCTCTTCCCTGGCATGGCTCTGCATGGCCCCCAGGGCCACCTCATCCTCACTGGTACATTGGGGCTGGGACATGCCTATCCTTGGGCCGCGCTCATCCCCCAGTGCTGGAAACACTTGTCCTGGGGCAACAGCCTCAGGTTCCCAAGTCCTTGTGAGGGTTCTTTCCAGTCCGGAAGGCCATCCCAGTGGCGAGGCTTGAGAAAGGCAGGTGCCACTCTTAGTTCCTCATGTGCTATCTGGAACCCAAGGATCATCTGGAGTGCTTCGGTCTGGTCGTTCCACAGGCAGCTTCCTTTGTGAGAGTGAATTACAAACCCTGTAAATTCTATGCAAGTTTCTTATCTACTGCGTAAGTGGAATAGCAGCTACTGGCAGAAATCATCAGACTATTCTTCAATAAGAACTTCACAAGGTTTGTTTTTTCCTAAAAAAGAACAAGAGTCCATTGCAACAGAATTGCAGCACATGAAGTCCAGCAGCACTGATGTGGCCCAAGGCAACGCACCTGGGGTTGCCTTAGAGAAAACTTGCACCAGCCCCCTGTGCCTGCCCCTCTTCTGTGTCCATGGGGAAGCTACCTGTCAAGGCCACAGCTGGGCATGGAGGAACCAGCTCTGTCTGAGCTGCGTATGCACCACAGAGCAGAGGGACTTCCCTGACCCCCACATCTGCCATGGCTGCTTGTCAGTAGTCATCACTGCCTGATGAATTTTTTTTCTCCTTTGTATAAGTAAGCGTTTTTTTTTTTTTTGTTTGTTT